CTATCCCAGCATTTTGAAATATTTCCCAACATGAGACTTGCTCCCAGGGTTGCTCTGCTGCTCAGGTCAGCTGACCATCAGTGTGAGAGAAGAGGACACCAGCCTGTCCCTCCTGCTTACAGTGGGACACACCTAAAGGACACTGAAGGCCCCCTGGTGACAAGGACAAAGCAACTTGGAAATCATCCTTGGAAACGCATGAGTGCATCCCAATGTAAAAATTACCAGGCAGGATGGGGATGACATCTGAGCCATCTCCTCCTTGAGCTGCTGGGTGTCATGAATACATGATTGATCCAAATGGGAACACACCTCGAATGACCATTAACGGAGACCTTACAGGGCTTCATAGCCCCTCCTGGGTGGCGTACCTTCCAGAGCTAGGAACATGGATTGTTGAGGAAAGCATCAGATGTGTCTGAGCAGGCTGGAGAATCTCAGGGTCCAGGGGCCAGTGGGAAGGTCTAAGAACATCAGGTCCCAGAAATCTTTAATGAGCACTAGCTGTATGCCACGCACCCACAGCCTGGGAGATCCGCAGTGGGCAAATGCAATAACCGAAATCAGCTGGCTTGAATTCCCCACAGCTCCCTTTACGAGTTTTAAGATCAAAGCCCAGGAAATGACTTTGTGTTTTTCTCCCAGGAGACTTTGTGATTCCAGACTCAGAACATGACCAGCAAGAGAGCTGTCACAGGAAGATGGTGCTTCGCTGTGAGGAGTCCTCCTCTCTCGACCTCAAGTGAACTCCTGCCCCATCTGACACTCACCCTCTGCCAGCACCATGTGAGGCTGGAGCTCAATGCCTCAGTGAACGTGAGCCAGGTGATTTTCCATCCCAAGCAGTTCCTAGCTATTGCCACCTATACCTCTGCAAAGAGCACCAAGGTCAGGGACAAGGATGTGGGACTTCATCAAATGATCTCATCAAATGACCCCATAATGGAGCAGTAAATGTAGCAACAAGCTAGTGGTAGCAAATCATCACAAGAAAAACAGTCATTATTACCATCACTATCACCATCACCACCATCACCACCACCTCCTCCTCATCATCATCACCATGAGCCTCATCACCATCATCACCACCATCATCATCATCATCACCACACTCATCACCATTGTCATCATCATCATCATCATCATCACCACCATCACCACCAGTGTCATCACCATCATCACCATCACCATCATCACCTCCATCATCACCAGCGTCATCATCACCATCATCACCATCACCATTGTCACCACCATCATCATCACCACACTCATCATCACCATTGTCATCATCATCATCACCATCACCATCATCACCACCATCATCATCACCATCACCACCAGCGTCATCATCACCATCATCACCATCACCATCGTCACCATCACCATCATCACCATCATCATCATCACCATCATCATCATCATCACCACACTCATCACCACCATCATCATCACCACACTCATCATCACCACCATCATCAGCAGCATCATCACCATCATCACCACCATCACCATCTCCATCATCATCACCACCAGCATCATCATCACCATCATCACCATCATCACCACCATCACCATCATCATCACCATCATCACCATCACCACCACCATCATCACCATCATCACCACCACCATCATCACCATCATCACCACCATCATCACCATCATCACCATCACCACCATCATCATCATCACCACCATCACCATCATCACCACCATCATCACCATCATCACCGCCATCACCATCATCATCACCATCATCATCACCATCATCATCACCATCATCATCACCACCATCACCATCATCACCATCATCATCCCACCATCATCACCGTCATCATCACCACCACCATCACCATGATCACCACCATATTAACAGCAGCAAACATGTAATGAACAGCTGTTATGTGTCAGGCAATGACCACCTGGCATATACTATCTCACTGATCTTTGCAACATTATAAGGTGGTTAATTCTGTAATTCCCACTGAGGCACAGAGAAGATAAGCAAGTTGCCCAAGTTCACACAGCTAATACAAGAGGAAGCCAGGAATTTGAAGGCAGACACTCTTACCCACTACCCTAAAACTAGGAGAGACTTTCCAATCACTTCATTTATAGGGTGGTCTCTGGGAGAGGGGCCGTTTGATGATTCCAGCAGCTATCCCACGTAATATTCACTCCTGAGGGATTTCAGAGTGCCCCGAATTTCCAGCCATCTGCTTTTCTATGCCCACTGATATCTGTGCTCTGGGCAGAGGGGCCAAGGTAACTTTCCCCTTCAAACAACTCTGTACTGAAGCAAAAATAAAAACTCACAACTCCCCAAACCTGATTCCAAAGATACCTCTTTGGACAACAGAACTGACTTAACAAATTCTTCCTATCCCTTTCCAAAACCTTAATTCTGTCCTTTGGGGTGCCCTCAGTGGTGAGTGGGCAGAGCTGGTGTGTCTCAGATGAAAAGACTCCCATGTCCCTGGTGGCTTGTTGGCCCCTGACACCTGCAGGCTTCTCCTTGGAGTCCTTCTTGCTGGGTATAGAAGCACCTGGCATGTACGCAGGGTTCTTACTTCATGCTTGGTGTTGTTCTACCGAATTCTCATGACAACCATTTGGAAGAGATATTTCTAAGCTTTAATTTTCCTGGTGAAGAAAATGAAGCCAAGAGAGAAGAGAACATCCCCAGGGTCACAAAACTACCTGCAGCAGAGTCCAGATTCGCAGGCGGTCTGCGGCTTGCAAGCACATACGGCATGCCCAGCCTCCTGGACCACCGCGCTGGGATCCCCAAGACCACCCTTGCTGCCTTAATCCTGTCTGAGAAAGGTGAGCAGCAGAAGTGCTCCACAAAGAGTCGAGAGCCCAGGTCTATGTGTGGTGACTGCCAGGACAAGGGGGATTCATGGGGCTCCCGCCAGGGCTCTGGGTGGCTTGGGTCACTTTTGTGGGATCAGCTGAGCTGTGACGGACCCAGTTAGAGGTGTCACCTCAGCACTTCCTGTCTGCCTTGCCTTGGCCTGGATGCCAAAAGCTGCTGACGCCCCTTCTCAGCATCCAACACCACTTCCCAGAATTAACATTTCTCTGCGCTAAAAGCAAACACACGTATTCCCGCCCCCCTTTAAATTTGTTTTGCTAAACAAATTAATCTAGCACCAGATTATATTATGAAGAACCATAAATCTTTTCCAAGATAAGCATCTGTCGAGTTGGATTAGCAACATCCAATGTACTGTGAATTAATTTACTGAGCCTTCTAATGCTGTCCCGAGCATTTAACTTTAGTAATAACAAATGTAATTTGGAATAAATGGGAACTTGTTTTCTCATCCGTGCCTATATAGTAAGTGACGTGTGTAGAGGGGATGACAGTAAATGAATGCAGCACTAAATTCTATTATGATGACGGCTTGTGAGTTTATTGAGGTAAAAACAAATGCTTTCGTAAACTGCTTTCGGGCACCTGGCACAGATGTGATGGACGGCAGGCTGTGTGTGCACAGGTTCTGGACAAAGGCTGGCCGGGAGACAGCCCGCGACCCCCTGCAGACCTTCTCCCGCTGTGCTCCAAGTTCACAGCCTCCGTCCCTGGGTCTGGCCCTGGCCCCTGGTGTTGAGGTGGAGTTGGGTTTGCTTTCATAGATATGTTGCTCTCTAGGGAAGAATTGCTCAGAATATAAAAACTGCAGTTCTCTCGTCCAGGTGAAGGAAGGAAGTAGGTCATGGAACAAAAGCCACCCACTCTATGAAAACCTATCCAACTCCCGACCACAGCCAGACACAGCCTCATGCAGATGCAGCCTGCAGGAAGACCTATGCTGCCAACAGACCCTGGGAGCATGTCTCTTCTGTCCGGGGTCCTGAAGAGGGCCTGCATGGGGACTATGGAGCCCGAGGCCTTAGGACATGGAGAAGCAAACAAACAGGGCGTGGGGGAGGCCACGCAGCACCCCCACCCTTCATGCCGACACCCTGGACTTCACATCCCATTTTAAGAGCTAGCCAACCCTGCGGCTCGTCTGGGATGTGCGTACCCAGATCTGATCTGTGAACATCCTGCTCCTGGTGGGGCGTGGGGTCGTGGCCTGTTCCCAGAGGCAAAGGGGGCCAGAGGTGGGCTGGAGCACAGGGGTCCCGGACTCTGCGCGTGCCCTCAGCCTGGGGACGTGCCTGTGGCTAGCCCTGAAGGGACGGGCTGTGGCCTGGGAGATTTTCAAGGGCCACTCCTTTAGAAGCAACTGGAAGAGGAGATAGAGGAGAAGAAAGAAAGACAAAACTACGTTGCAGTAGATATTTCGAGGTAACTGTCCATAAGCACCCAGAGCAACGGGCGGGGGACCCAGAGCCATTTGTTCTGACCCCATCCCCCAAACACCTGCGACATCGCCTCCAGGGAAGATACTCCCCAACCCAAGCCAGTTTGCAGAGCCTCAGCAAACAACCACAGGAAGTTCTTCCTTATACCTGATCTCGATCTCTTCTGCCACTTAAAGTGATCCCTAATTCTGGGTCAATGTGGCAGTCGCCCCTCCACAGGCCACAGCCTTGAAGGTTTTTGGGTACTCTGCTCGGGCCCTAATTCCACCAGCAGGTGTGTCCGCATCTCACTCCCAGGCTGGCCCAGAGGTCAAGGTTCTACCATTCGGGAAGACGTGGCTCTGTGCCTGGCGGGGTCTGGACGCCCATGACACAGGCAAGGCGGGCACAGCATCTCCTTCTAGGCCACTACTAAGGAGAGACCCTGTCCTGTCTCCCTTCCACCAGCCAGAAGGGCTTGACTAGAGCACAACCTGCAAGTCCACGGACACACAGGCCCCCTCTGTCCCCAAGGCCGCCACCCAACAGTCAGCACTCTGCCGTTGTTAGGTTTCTGCTGCTGAGAAACGGGGAGGCCTGCCGTGCAGTGTCACCGGGCACAGCATGGCATCCTTCATGAGCCACACCCCCAGGGTGTCCTCCCCCCACCAACCGAACCCCAAGCAGAAAAGAGGTGGGTGTACCTGAGGTCTCCCCCAGAATCCGTGGGGGCTTGACGTCTTCACCATCGTCTTTGCTAGGACTGGTGGAAGGCTCCGTTGTGCTAACCCCAACTGGGATCCTATTCCTGGGGCCCAGGGGCTCAGTGACCCCCTTAGTCTGCAGCGTCGTGGAGGTGGCCGTGGTGGCGGGGGCGGTGGTGGTGGCCACAGTTGTCTTCCGTGTCTGTGGGATGGAGGCCGTGGTGGGGCCGTAGAGCCCTGGAAATGTGTTGGATTCCGGGGCCTCCTCCTCCCCCGTGGGGCCCCAGGCGATGAACTCCGTCTCTGTGGTGGGCCTGCTGCCCCGGAAATCAAAACCGTTGAAGCCGGCCCCCTGCAGGTGCCTCTTCTCCCTCCACAGGAGGGCCTGCTGGTCCGTGGTGGCCCCGCTGCCCACTGCGGGGGACGGGGACGTCGAGGAGGAGCCAAGGGAAGGGCTGGATTTGGCAGCGGCTGGGGGCTTGGCGAGCCCCCCTCTGGGCACCAGGGCGGCCACCTGGTCCCTGGGTCTGTGCGCCCGTTTGGCGCGCGGGCTCGGCACCTGCCCGTGGCTGCGCTCCACGCGGGCCGGGCGCGGGCTCCACACGGGCACGGGGATGCGCGCCGCCTGTCCGCTCTTCAAACTCCACAGCCGGGGCGGCCGCTGCGGCGGCCGGGGCAGGAGCCGGAAGTCGGCGCCCGGGCCCAGGGACTCACACGAGGGCAGATCCATGGCGAGCTGAAACATGGCTATAAGTATCCAAGCATGGCTTCCTAGGGAGCAGCCCGGCCAGTGGATGGACATGGAACTGCGTGGAAAAGAGAGAGCAGTGTCAGGTGGGGGCTCTGGGGGCTCCGCCGGCGGTCCCTCCACCCCCCCCATGACACGGAAGCACTCTTCTGGTAATGAGCGCTAATCCTAACTTCAAAAGGGAAACCGAAACCCTCCATTAGCCGACTTCACAGCCCTGCTGGAGTGCCACCTCTTCATCAGCATCTTAGAAGCACTGTCCCCATGCACCTGCTCCCAGGAGCCGGTTCCCCCGCCTACACCTCACATCTCTTCCCAGGAGCATGCAACACACATGGCTGGGTGACATGACGCGGGAGGGAAACCGAGTCTCAAAACCCCCAGCTCAGCCGACAAGATGATCTCAAACACCTTCTGTTCCCCCCTCCGCTTCTGCCCAGAGTTCATGAAACGGAGACAAGGAGAGGACGTGAGGTAAAACAACAGCAGAGCTGGGGGCTCGGGTCACCCCTTGGGTCCAGGGCTGAGCACCTTCCTCTGTGTCACAGAAGTTACAGACCCAAGGTGTGTGTCTCGGAGCACACAACCTCCCTTCCTGAGCCCTGGGAGGACAGGGGTTCCATTCTCCGTGTGGCTGAGCCCACCAGACTTCACAGGGGGCCCGAAGGCCAGGCATCTCCCGAGCCCCCGCCCCATGCTGTGGTCCGCAACCCCACCCCCACCTTCTCAGGCAAATGTGCATATCTCACAGCAGGCTGTGGCCTTCGATGCTGTACGCTAAGAAAGCTTCTTATTTTTGGACTCCTCTGGATTTTGTTCAGGAAAATGAGATCTGCTGTGGATAAGCTGGAAGTTTATTGATGCACCAACCCTACCCAAGTGCTGTTCTGTTGACATTTCAGCTTCCCCTATTTATCTTCAGCGCAGGTGCCCTTTGAAACCCCATCATCCACCTGCTCAGCTCCAGGCTCGGCTGGAGAAGGGCAAATCCCACACGACCTGGGGAAGATGGTGGAGGGTGGGTGCACGGAGCATCACGTGAGCACTCAGAGCACGGCAGACAGACCCGTGGAGGGCTTGGTGTCCCCGGGGCCCACGCTCCCTCTCCAGCTTAGGTAATTGAGGACTGGGTACAGGCGCCATTCGAAGTCAGTACTCGTCACTGGCGTCACGTCTGAAAATTGACACGGATCCAGAATGTTAGTGGCTGGTGCGGGTGGGGGCGGGCGAGGGCGTTGGGTGCGCCGAGCCGCCAGCCTGAAAAGCTGCTCAAGACCAGCCCCGTAGAAAAAAAGGCTTGGCAGTTTTTCTTTATGAGGTTTCGCATGACTTTAAAAGGGAATAAATCAGCGAGTGAGCAGTGTGCATGCATGCACAGGAGTGTGTCTCAGGACTGCAGGTCGCTGATGTGTGATAGCGCGTCAGTGCCTGTGAAAGACCAAATGTACAAGTGGGTGTGAGTGTGTCAGCAAGTGTGTAAGAGCACGAGTCCGTGGGGGTTGTCTGTGTGCCCGTCTGTCACATATGCGTGTTTGTGCATGTGTGGGTGTGGCTGAGTGTGGGGTCCATGTCAGTGAGTGTGTGTGAGTGTGTCGGCCAGTGTGCAAGAGTGTGAGTCTGTTGTGAGGCGGTCTGTGTGCCTGTCCATCATATATGCATATGTGTGTGCATGTCCAGGTGTGGCTGAGTGTGGGGTCTGCATGTCGGTGCACGTTTGTGTGCATGTGTCTGTGTGTGAGCCCCCCCCCCATTCTGCACTGAGCTCCACGTGCCCGGGGCCGCCTCTTCTCCGGTGGGTACTTAGGCACGTGCCGCTCCCTGCCTGTCATCAGGATGTGGAAAGGAAGAAACTTGTATTAATGAGTGCTAATTACCGAAAAGGACTAATCCCCAAACAAAAAGGGCCCAGTTTTTTAATCAGAATGAAAGTGCTTTGCTGCAGAAATTAGGAATCGCTCATTATGCTAATGCCTCTGCGCCGAGTTTCTGCCGGTGTGCAATTTCTCTGCACAGCCCGCCAAGCTCTGTGCAGGGACCAGGGCCTCTGTCACCACACACAGAAATTTAGGTCAGTGCGAAACATCCCCGTGCCCACGGAAAGCACAGCTCCTGTGGCCACAGGTGGTTCAGTGAGGATGGATGGTTTAGACCCTCTGGTTCTCCCACCACTCTGCATGTTTGGATGGGAGTCCAGCCCCCAGGAAGTGGGATACTTCTTTAAGCAAGAGTGGTGCTCAGCCCAGAAGGCCCTACCAGGCCCCACCAGGTCCTACCAGGCAACACCAGGCCCCACCAAGAAACACCAGGCCCCACAAGGAAACACTAGGTCCCACCAGGTCCTACTAGGCAACACCAGGTCCCATCAGGCCCCATGAGGCCCCACAAGGTCCCACCAGGCAACCCCAGGCCCCATCAGGTACCACCAGGCCTCACTGGATCCCACCAGACAACACCAGACCCCTCAGGTCCCACGAGGCAATGCCAGGCCTCACCAGACCTCACCAGGCCTCACCAGGCCTCAGCAGACACACACAGGCCCCACTGGTTCCCCCAGCACTACCAGGCCCCACCAGTCCCCATCAGGCCCCACCTGGCCCCACCAGGCACTACCTGGCCCCACCAGGCCCCACCAGGTACCAGCTGGCCCCATCAGGCCCCACCAGGCCCCACCAGGTACCACCTGGTCCCACCAGGCCCCACCAGGTACCACGTGGCCCCACCAGGTACCACCTGGCCCCATCAGGCAGGCTGAATGAAGAGCAGCCACAGGCGAACCCGAGTGCCGTCAGTACTTGGAGAAATATTGCCCCAGGAAATTAAAACCGCAGACCCCAGCCTGCGTTTGCTTGCCTGCCCCAGCATAACTTCACATACAGGATATTTCTGTCATTTTTCACCAATCATGAGCTGTAATTGGTTACCATAGAAACCCCCTCATTTCCACGCCACCCGGCTGTTATGCAGAAAAACCAACCGATCGCAAGAGCGGGGAGAGCTTGCTTTGTTTCTCTTCGAGTCCAGTTTCTTCCTTCTTAAAGTGATGGATTGGTCCAGAGAGGGAGTATTAGGAGGGCGCGGGGACAAGTCAGGACAGAGGCTCCTCCCCACCACCGGCCGCTGGGACATGCCGGGCCCCAGCACAGGCAAGCAGAGCTGATGCCAGCCCTCCCCAAACCTCGAGGGCATCCACGGGCCCCATAACAACACGCCCCCACCTCACACCACGAGGATGATTATAAGCACGAAGCCAAGTCCAAGTGCTGGCAAGCACCTGGGGACATGGGAACTCGTGCGCACAGTCGGTGGGAACGTAAAAGGGTGTTGCCGCCACGCAAAACAGCTCAGCAGCTCCTCAAAGACTTAGTTCCCGGAAGACCCCGCCTTTCCACTCTTGGGTACAAACATGAGTCCACACAAAAATGTGTGCACGAATGTTCACAGCAGCATTGTGCCTGATAGCGGAAAGCAGAAACCAGCCCCAGTGTCCATCAGCTGGATGGATCAGGAAAATGCTCTCTGTCCCTACAGGAGAACGTTCTCTGGCCTTAAAAAGGACAGAAGCATCAACACATGCAACAACGTGGATGGAGCTTGAACACAGCGCGTGAAGGAGAAGAAGCCAATTACATCAGGCTACATGTCGTCCAAAACGCCCGGAATCGGTGAATCCGTAGAGACAGGGAGTAGATTCCTGGTTGCGAGGGGCTGGGGGAGGTGACTACTAATGGTTATAGGATTTCTCTTAGGGGTGACAGGAATGTTCTGGAATTGATAATGCTGATGGTTGCACAGCCTTGTGAATACATTAAAACCACTGAACTGTACCCGATGGGGGGTGAATTTAGGGTACGTACATCGTAGCTCAAGAAGCGGATGTTCAAGGGTGGAGAGACCAGCCTGGGGTGGGTTGCATGGTGTCCTGCTCTGGGTGCGGGCCCTGGCAGGTGGGAGGAAGGAGAGGGTGCCCAGGCTGGAGCCAGCGTCCGAGCTGCGGGCACGGGGCAGAGAGCGTGCGTGAGATCTTTCAGGCTTGTGCACAGTCCTCACAGGGGCCCGGTCTCGTCTGCCCTGCAGGGCAGCGTCCCAGCTCCCCCTCCACCACCAGCCTCGTGCACATCAGGGCTGTGGCACCATCCCCTTTATTTTCTGGTTCACAGCTTTCTTGCTTCTCCCCCTTTTAAATTTTTATTGAAAGCTTTTTTTTTTTTCCCTAAGAACACTTTCATATGATTCAGTGGATTGAGATTGAATTTGCTACCTTCTGTATATTTTCTTCACAGAAGAAAACCATGGTCAATTAAGGGAGACAAAGACTTGTCTTCCACTTACAGTTGCACTTTTCCCCAGGGGGCTCGCAGACCAGGCCTCCCGCAAGGGCCCAGCTCCCACCTGCAGGAACCCCCAGGGCGGTGAGACTCTGGGCTGGGCCGGAAGCTCCTGCGAGCCCTGGGATCTTCCTTGCGTGGCAGTGAGCCCCCTCCACCAGCCCCCCCCCACATACAGTCCCAGTGCTACAGCCCCGAGGAACACCCCTGCCTCCAGAGTGTCCACTTGTCATCAGCTGGTCTGGGACACCAGCCACATGATTCTGTGTGAGGGAGAGGTTGGCTCACACCTGCTTGGGATGGTGACTCCCTCAGCTATGTCCCAACCCATTTCTTCTGGCTATGAATCGGGTGAGTTTTGGAGAGTTACGAAAAGCAGGTGTCCCCCAGTAGTGTGCGCTGTGCTTAGTGACCTGCTTCCCAAAATTAGCACATGGAAAGGGGAGGGAAGTCACTTTCCAGTGGAGACACCTGGCACGCAGGACCTTGGCCAGTGTCAAGGTCGCATCCGCAGTGGTGAGTCATGAGAGCAGGCACTCCTGACGTGATGGGGAGGGCACTGCGCCTCCTCCCGAAACCCGTCACCCCGTCTAACATGAGAAAACCACCCGACAAATCCCGATGGAGGGACAGTCGACAAAATCCCCGACCAGTCCTCCTCGAAACTGTCAAGGTCATCAAAAACAAGGAAAGCCTGGAAAACTGTCACCACCAAGGGGAGCCTAAGGAGATG